CATGAGGGCAGAGAAACAATAAACTACATGAGGGCAGAGGAACAATAAACTAAATAAAGCAGAGAAACAATAAACTACATGAAGCAGAGAAACAATAAACTACATAAAGCAGAAAAATAAGAAACTACATAAAGCATAGAAACAATAAACTACATGAAGGAGAGAAACAATAAACTACATGAAGCAGAAAAACAATAAACTACATGGGGCAGAGAACCCATAAACTACATAAAGCAGAAAAACAAGAAACTACATGAAGCAGAGAAACAATAAACTACATGAAGCAGAGAACCAATAAACTACATAAAGCAGAAAAACAATAAACTGCATGAAGCAGAGAAACAATAAATAGAAAAAAAATTGAATAAAGTACACTGACAGTCAAGGAAAACGCACAATTGTTTGTTTTTTATTTCTAATTTTTAGTCAATTAGTATTAATTGAGAAGCACATGTTACATTTAGGTGTATGTGGCCAGTGGATATAGCAGATATTCGGAACAACTGCCCACCACAATGTCCCAGAGCTAACACTACTGTAATGTGCTGTCAAGTCCACCAAATCCGATGAATATGTCCTTCAATAACAGGTATGTCCAACTCCTGCAGCAAAGCATACTGTGGTTCTACATCTGATCCTGCGTTGGGGAGTCTCCTGCCGCTCGTCCTGCAATGCGTGGATCAACTGTTGTCTGTTCTGTGGTCTGGGGTAACTTCTGGAGACGTTGCTGCCTAGCTCATCCCACAGACGTTCAGTGGGGTTGAGATCGGGTGAGTATGGTGACCATGGCACTACGTCAACGTATTCTGTCTGGAGATAATCCGTGATGTCACGTGCAGACTTCAGACAAGCATTGTCCTGCTGAAAAACAGTGACGTTACAGTGGTCTCTGTGGAAGGGAACCACATGGGGCCTTAAGACGTTGTTGACGTAGAGTTGTGCATTCAAGCTGCTCTCGATGACTACCAGAGATGTTCTGTGGTTGCCTGAAATGCCTCCCCATACCATGACACAAGGGTCACCCCAACGATTGATCTGTCTGATGCAGTAGTCGACAAAGCGTTCACCCCGTCTTCTTCAGACACGTTGACGTTCGTCAGGACAAAAAGATCGTCTGTGAAGAGAATTGTCTCTCATGCTGCCTACACCACTGCAGCCTGGTTTGACGACCTGCAGGAGTGAGATCTGGGCCCCTGAAAGATCTACGTCCGTCAAGCCCGTCGTGATGTACAGTCGGACTGTCACGTAGGTGCATCAGATGGATGGCTCTATCCTGACGTTGCGTAGTGATGCGATGCAGTCGTGGACACTGTCGGTCATCAACTGAGCCTGTCAACTGTGGCGCTGGACCAGCCTCATAATGGTCGATTGATTGCATCCCATTCTCTGTGCAATTTCTTGCTGGCTCATACACCTTTCCAGCATATCGATAGCATGGTATTCTCTAGTCAAACCGTATTCGGGTTGCGCAATATGTAGCCCCCCCCCAATTTCCACCCCTACACGCGATCCGCATGAAAATGCCCAATAGCAGAAATGGACTGATTTGGCATATTGTGATCAGGATTCAATGAAACGTGTCAAAAGTGTAAAGGAGTGGTCATTTCACATTGGATGGACCTCAAAAGTTCACATGGGGAATGGGAACCCGGCTAGCAATCTGCAGGTCGTGGGTTCGAATCAGCCGTGGGGCGTTATAATGTGACGGTCAATCCCACTATGCGTTGGTAAAAGAATAGCTCGAGAGTTGGCGGTGGGTATTGATGACTAGCTGCCTTCCTTCTAGTTTTTCACTGCTAAATCAGGGACGGCTAGCGCAGATAGTCCTCGTGTAGCTTTGCACGAAATTCAAAACAAACAAACAAACACACAGGGAATGGAAAGTTGATTTTCAACCGTGGGGAAAATTATTGAAAACAAAAATTATGCGTTTTCATTTATTGTCAGTGTATATAAAAAAAAAACATATAAAAGAGCCGCGAATAACGTACATAAAACATCTGGGAATGAACTGCATAAAATAAACCGGGAATAAACCACATAAAATACATGGTAAATAAGATACAGAAAAAGAACTGTCAATAAACAATATGAAACAGAGCGTGAATATACAACACAAAGCAAACTGTGAATAAACTGTAGAAAGAAGCCGTGTGTTAACTTCAAACAGGAAAGAAAAAATGGCCGTGAGTAAACTGAATAATACAGGCAGTGCGTAAAGTACATATAGTAATCGTGAATAAGTTACAGAAAATTAGCCTTGAATATACAACCTAAAACAGATCGTGAATATATTGAACAAAACAGCATGTAAACAATCTATATAAGCAAGCTGTAAATAACTTAAAAAAAACAGAGCGTGAATATATTACATAAAACAGACTGTGAATATATTACATAAAACAGAGCGTGAATATATTACATAAAATAGAGCGTGAATATATTACATAAAACAGAGCGTGAATATATTACATAAAAAAGAGCGTGAATATATTACATAAAACAGACTGTAAATATATTACATAAAATAGACCGTGAATATATTACATAAAACAGACTGTGAATATATTATATAAAACAGACTGTGAATAATCTATATGAAACAGGTTGTGAATAATCTATATGAAATAAGATGTGAATAAAATACAGAAAACAGGTTGTGAATAAATTATAGAAAACAGGTTGTGAATAATCTTTATGAAACAGTTGTGGATAATCTATTTGAAACAGGTTGTGAATAATCTTTATGAAACAGTTGTGAATAATCTATATGAAACAGGCTGTGAATAAACTACAGAAAACAGGTTGTGAATAATCTTTATGAAACAGTTGTGAATAATCTATATGAAACAGTTGTGAATAATCTATATGAAATAGGTTGTGAATAAACTACAGAAAACAGGTTGTGAATAATCTTTATGAAACAGTTGTGAATAATCTATATGAAACAGGTTGTGAATAAACTATATGAAAGAGGTTGTGAATAAACTATATGAAAGAGGTTGTGAATAATATATATTAAACAGGTTGGATCTACATACCTACTTGTAAATGTATAATTATAGATGGATCTACATACCTACTTGTAAATGTATAATTACAGATGGATCTACATACCTACTTGCAAATGTATAATTACAGATGGATCTACATACCTACTTGTAAATGTATAATTACAGATGGATCTACATACCTACTTGTAAATGTATAATTACAGATGGATCTACATACCTACTTGTAAATGTATAATTACAGATGGATCTACATACCTACTTGTAAATGTATAATTACAGATGGATCTATATACTTACTTGTAAATGTATAATTACAGATGGATCTACATACCTACTTGTAAATGTATAATTACAGATGGATCTACATACCTACTTGTAAATGTATAATTACAGATGAATCTACGTATCTACTTGATTGATATAATATTCACGTTTGGTTTTGTTTGGTTTTTAATTTCGCGCAAAGCTACACAAGGGCTATCTATGCTAGCCGTCCATAAATTAGCAGTGAAAGACAAGAGGGAAGGCAGCTAGTCATCACCACCCACCGTCAACTCTTAGTACCAACGAATAGTGGAAGTGAGAGTCACGTTATAACGCCCCCACGGCTGAAAGGGCGAGCATGTTTGATGGGACGGGAATTCGAACCCACGCCGGACCCTTTCACGTTTGGAAAACAACTAATGTTCTTGAATAACTAAAGATAAAAATAAATCAACAACATTGGTACTTAAATATTAAGGTTTCTCTTATTTATAATGATTTTACATCAATTCCTTCATTTACAATTCACAACAAGCTGGAGATTCTTGTATAATTTATTGCACAAATTCCATTTTTTTGCTATAGTAGCAATGGTGGTTTCTAGTTACACAGACGTCACATGGCTCGCAGTCTATATATTTTTATGTCTACGATTACCTTATAAAAGCTTTTAATTAATTTAAGTTAGGCATTGCCTTAAAAAATGCTCTATCTTCATTTTTCACTTCCAGTATCTGTAACTTCTCTTCCGATAAAGAAGATTGCTTTAACCAAAAACAATCGATGTATGAAAACCTACAACGTAATTCCAAGCACGTTATTTTCTAACAAGCTTATATCTACTCCGTTCTTTAAAATCTCCAGAAAATGCCAATAGGGGAGAACGGTGGCGCCATCCTGTAGTTACTACGCTAGCCTATAGTGTCGAGTTGACACTTTGAATAGTTAATATGTAGTCTATTCGTAATTAATAAGGTATTAATTAATGATAATAAATTCATCAAAATGGAACAGCACTGTCACTATCACTCTACATTACAACATGCTTATGTCCGACTGCAATAAAAGAAATACTTATCTTAAATGTGAAAAAAAGAACTTTTAATTAAATTATATTATACCGTTCTTTATATTATATTCGATGAATTTATTCCTTTGATACAACTATATACTAAATTATTAATGCTAAACTAGACTTACGTATGCTTGCTCTCCTTTTGTTATCATTATTATAAATGTTTCTATCCCCTCTTTTTGCTTTAAATAGAAAAGGTAGAAAAAAGGGGGAAAAATAGATAAAGGGAAAAAGAAAACATAAGAATAAATCATTTATATTATTTTTGTTACCAGTTTGAGTAAATAACTGAATAACATATGTAATAGACTGCCAACTACAGCATGGTAGGTTATACATCTAAGGAGCGGGACCTAAAGGATGACTCCATTAAGCTCGAGCTGTCAGCTTGACTAAGTAGAAAGAAACGGCAGCTGTGTGTGATCCAGTTTAATTCTAAGTAGTTTTCACAGTGAAGGCTAAGTGCGGGTGATAACCACTCACTCCATCCCTGGCACTTCCAGAGAAATGAAGCTCTTCCCAAGTGTATCCTAGCTGTTGACCAACAGCTAGGTCTGTGTGATTACAAACGTATCTCAAGGCACACACTTAAAAAGTGGAAACTGGGAAAAAATGGAGAAAGAAAAGAAGAAAAGTAAAAGAAAAAGGACGAAAACGAAATTTGTCCAGATAACTGGCAATTTCTGTAGCCACCAAATGAGAACAAAAGCTACTGAATGAGAAACACGTTCTAATGGTGGGAGTAAATGCCATGGAAGAAATCATAATATAGAAGACAGTGTATTTTAACTATCGCCAATGGAAGGAAATAACAAAAAAGGTCTTCTAATCCTTGTAATTGGTAACACTTCAAGCTGCCATTCCTAGAAAAACACTAACTAAAAACATATCATGTTAAAGTTGTATATCCACAGTCTTCTGAATCCTCATAAGTACACTTGGCTTTAATGCCCAGAGCTTTATCTGTCTGTACACTAACTGAAATTAAATAGAAAATAATTTGAGGAGATAGTCCAAAACATCAAATGTTTACTATCTAATAATAATGTCCCGCAACAATAGCAGAAAGAGAGAGAAGAAGACTTTTAATCAGCCATAGATTTTTTTCTTGTTACACCTGCTGCATACCTTGAGTTAAAACGTAATCCATTACTATAAAACGCCATTTCGTCTATGGGCTTTCTATATAGAGAAAGTTCATTGTGAGTAAATGGAGGATGGTGGTGAGGAAAGAAATGAATTATTCAGAAAAGTAAATGTGGTAGACAGCGGAAATATGGAAAACCTGGAAAGAGTATGGACACACTAAAGCATACATCAAGTCCAACAATTGTTGGTAAAGAGAAAGTGAGCTTAGGCAGAAAAAACGCAGAATTTATGAAAACCACCTCAGAATCTAGAAAATAACAGAGACGTAGACAAGCAATATGGGACACCTGCCAATTTCTTTCCCTAAAATCTAAATTTCAGCAATGAGATCCAGCAGACCCTAGTATACTAAACAAATAGTTTAAAACTGGTGTAAGTTATGAAACCAGTATCAATTGTACGTGTGTTAAAACCACAGGAGATAAAAGGAATAAATAGTGAATGTCTAAGTACTGATGATAAAAAGATAACGTCTTGCAAAGATATACAAGCCAACTATAAGAAAA